TTTGACTCCGCTGTGTAGGAACTAACTGAGGGGAGAAACAGTGGGGATTCATGGGGAGTTTGTGCAGCTTCTTCGAGAAAAACGCCTGGATTATCTGATTTTTGATTGATTTCTTATTTTTTGGACGGGGCGCTGGACGTTTTCAAGGCGACACTGCGTTTCTCTGCTGTGCCAGCTGCAGCCTGCGACCTGTTTTTGGTTTTTAGGTAAGCTGATGCTGATCTGAACCGACTGCGTGTACCCACCGTGACTGCATTTCATAACTCGCCCACATCGTAGTAAATGCTACTCCACGTTGCAGGAATCGCAGCTGTCTGCTGAAGTGACACCGTCTGAGTGTAAATGATTTTTTTTCTTTTCTTTAGGAGGCACCTCTGCGATTTATTTTTGCTTTGATCGCCGCCTCGCAGGGCAATACAGCTCATGTGTTTAGTTCTTGGAGCATGCAGGGGGAAAGGCGAGGGCCTGCTTCAGTGTGTCACAATAAAAGTCCTAATAGTTTAGTAATGTTGTGAATATTGAAGTTATTCTCCTAAGAATAACATATGCAGAATAAAATGACCTGTATTTGTGAAAAACACATTGCACTGAGCAATTATTAAGAGTATTAAAATGCTTTGGGTTTAAACGTTTAGCTCATGCCATTAACATGAAGGCTTTCTATCATGTGTGTTATATTTACATATGTTATGCTTTCATTTCTGAGCTATCAAAAAAGTATTTTCACTTGACAAAATAGTAACAGCAAGAACAATAAATGTGATTACACGGTGCAAATGAAGCTTATTTGTGTGTCTCTAAATTCATATTAACACAATGTCCTGAAAGTCTGTCTTCAGTTATCCGGTTAGTTAAGAAGGTCGGGCTGCACACACTGACATCTCTGTTTCCGTCTCCCAGCAGCGACGTGTAGTTTTCGGAGCTCCGGTCATGGCGGACCAAGAGGAGACTTTTGTCCTCCAAAACTCTCCAGGTGGCTCGGATTCGAGAGAATTACAGAGCGATAATAAATCAGAGAAACAGAACGGGACCTCAAGCAAATCCCCGTCATCACAGACAACTTACATCCAGCAGGTCAGTGCCGGCTTGCAGGCCTCACACTCACTGCTTCAGGCTGGAAGCTGCGGATTTAGGGGTCACTTTCACTCATTTGCAGGAAAAAAATAGCCTAGGCGTTTTTGTCAGAAGCAGGCAGATACCCTGTTGTTCTTGGCGTTAAAAATATAAAATATAAATCATGACTTAAGAACAAATATCCGCACAGTGAATGGAGTATTTCTGCTCATTTTAGTTCTTTCGGCGTATATATTTACGCTGTTTGGAGATAGAAATGTGATTGGATCTGATATTTAGTCCACTAGTGATTTTTTTTTTAATTTGTGAAATGAAACAACTTCAGCAAAGTCTCAGCAAATTTTTAGTTTCTGTTAAGCTTCATAGCGTAACTGTGTGTGTTATAGTTTATAGTCATATAGGGGATACAGATCAATTCTGTGTGGGTTTATGTTCATTGCTACACATTAGCTTTGACTATTATAAAATCGTGTTTGCTGCTTCAGTTCTCACGGCAAAGGCTGAACAAGTTAAAGGCTACGGTATTATGGCTGGTTTAAACTGTTAATTCATAAGCTTATTATCCTCTGCATTATTTACAGCTTAGCCCTCAGCGTACAACTCGGTTGTCCAAAGTATTTGCATTTTATTTTTTAAAGTGTTTTAATCAAACACTAAATATTAGACCTACAGTTTTGATTTTGATTTTTTACAACCTCTG